ACTGCAGCTACATGAGAAGAGATTGGGCAATGTGGACTCCTCTATGTAGGGCTCCTGTACTGTGAGGCCAAGCCCATTTAGAGGCAATGAATCAGGGCTCTGCCTGGCAGGCAGATTCCAAGGCCAATGGTTCTCTTGGATTATAATGCAAATGTCATCCAGTTGAGAAAGAAATCCCAAAAATCTTAGGAAAGTAGTGTACTACAGTTCGAAATCATGCAATAATTTCCTTATTAAGTAAGCTTCTTTAATTCCAGGAAGGTGTAAGATTAACTGTAGATATGCTAAACAAAATTTAAAAAAAAAAAACATGTATTTATAATTATTTATAAATTTTTTGTTAAGAAATCTGGGAGTTAGGCTAGGGGTGCAGCTCAGTGACAGGGCACGTGCTCAGCCTGAGGCCCTGAGTTCAATCCCAAGTACTGGAAAGAGAGAATCTGTGCTATCCATTACTTTATGTACCTTAACATTTAATTTGGTCTGTTTCAAGTAACAAGTCAGTCTCAAGGCTCCAATTAAAATAAACGAAGTAATTTGTTTAGACTTATGATTTTAGGTAGGAATTTACTAGGTTTAAAATCAGTATTGGCAGAGGACAAGCACATGAAAAGATGCTCAGCGTCATTAGGGGAATTCAAACCACAATCAGACACCACTATAGGCCTTTTTATTTTTTATTTTTGGTACCAGGGACTGAACTCAGGGGCATCTAACCACTGAACAACATTCCCAGCCTTTTTTAATTTTTTTATTGAGACAGGATCTCACCAGATTGCTCAAGGCAACCTTAACTCGCTAACGTACAGAAGCTGACTTTGAATTTGTGATCCTCTTGCTTTAGCCTCTCAAATCACTGGGATTACATGCGTGTGCCACCATGCCGAGACCTATGCCTTCTTAAATGGCTAAAATTATAAAGTCTGACTACCCTCAGTGCTGGGGAGGATGGGAGGAATTAGAACTCTCATTCACTGCTGGTGGGAATATTAAATAGTACAACCACCTAAGAGGGGTTCAACATGGAAAGTTACACATGCAACTACTGTGTGTCCAACCACGCCCCTCCTAGGCATTTGCCCAAGACAAAAGGAAATGCAAAAACCTTCACAACAGTTTTATTTGCAATTGTCAAAAACTGGAAGCCAGTGAGATGACCAATGACAAGTGAATAGATAAACGATATAATATCCATGTCATAGAATAATTACTCAGCAATATATAAAGAATGAACTCTTGATATGTGCAACAACTAGACATAATTTAAATAATTATGTGGAGTGAAAGAAGGCAGACAAAATAGAACACAAACTGTAGGAGTGGTTTTATGGAAAATCTCAGAAAATGCAAACTCATCTTTAGTAACAGAAAGTAATTAGTGGTTACCTGAGGGAGGTGGAAGCAAAGGTGGGGGGTAGATTCCAAAGACGACAGGTGTGTCAGCTTGTCTGGACTGTATTGATGGTTTCACAGGGACAATTTGTCAAAACTTGTGAAATCATAAGATTTAAATATGAGCTACTAGTTATATGTCAATAAAACCTCAGTAAAGCTATTTTAAAAATAAAATATAAAATGGGGGCTGAGGTTGTACTCAGTGGCTGAGCACTTGCCTCGCACATGTGTGAGACACTTGGTTCAATCCTCAGCACCATATAAAAATAAGTAAACAAAATAAACATGTTGTGTCCATCTATAACTAAAAAAAATATTTTTAAAAATGGAATAGGTACATTTATGAAAACTTTAAGAATCAGCTTAATGTATTAGATTTACAAGTATTATTTAAATATTGGGGAATTTTTTAATCATGCATCCCTCATGGCCAGCTATAATTTATAACTATAATTGGAAGAAGTATTAAAATAAGACGAATAATTTATAAATTCAATTTAAAATTTTCAAATGAATCTAATTAAGTCTTCAAATGGGACCAGCATTAATCAATCACTTTCAGAGTGATTGTTAAAACTTTCTAGAATTGTAAACAGAATAGAAAGATTTGTACTTTGTTGTATTTAAGAGCTAAACTTTAAAAAGTGTAGACCTTAAAAGAAAGAATTCAATTTTGAGGTTTTATTTCTTTACCTTGCTGGGGATGGAACCCAGGCCCCCAGCAGGTGCTCCACCACTGAGCTGGATAGATTTCTGAATTGTAACTTTAACAAATTGAAAATACATATTTTTTTCTATCTGAGTAACTTCAAAAAAAAAAACTTTGCTGTAGTAATCAAACATCTAGGGGTAGAGATGAGGTATGGCATCCAGAATCTCACCCAAACATGCCACTCACGGTCACCCAAAACTCACCCAGTCGGGGCTGGGGATGTGGTTCAAGTGGTAGCGCGCTCGCCTAGCATGCGTGAGACACTGGGTTTGATTCTCAGACCTCATAAAAATAAAATAAAGATACTGTGTCCACCTAAAACTAAAAATTTTTTTAAAAATAAAATAAAAAACCTCACCCAGTCATTTAGTCTCTGAATCTCAGTTTTCTCATCTGTAAGAGAGAAATGTTTCCCAGAATAAACAATATATTTGCTATTAATTGATAGACCCAACCTGATCTTTTCTTAAAATTGGGCATCTCGCCACAAAACCATGAAAAGATAATTTCGGCTTTACTATAAATTACTGCAAATTCTGAACCTACTTGGAATGCCTGCCCGTGCCCTTAACTCACCCATGTCCGGTTTTCCCTGACCAGATAACAACCCTTTCCTAAACCTTAGTGACGCCTCATAAATTCTGGCCTTCCCTGGCCGGATAACGACCCTCTCTGAGTCTCTAAGATCTCCATAAATTCTGATGCCGGGGCCAGCAAAAATGTAAACTTGTGTTATGCTCCTCAGAGTGTTGTTATCTGTAACCCCCCTTTGTTAACTTTTTGGGCTATAAAACTGGGCCACAAAGAAGCCTCGCCGCTGTCCTTGGCTCCCACGATTTTGATGGGCAAGGCAGCCCGGCCGGTCGAAATAAGAAGCTTGCTTTAATTTGATTTTAATTGGAGTCAGTGGTCTTTTCTTACATCCTGGTCTAACATTAATGATTTATTAATAAATTTTATACTGATAAATAGCACACTGGCCAACACATTGGCATAAAGAAATGAGCAGCACAATACCATTGCTAGTAACTGCAGCCCGGACAGATCCTGGGCTGACCAATGGCAGACAGGAGAAAGGTGACACACATATCCTCAGAGACCAAGCATGACTCAGCACAGCCAGGTCACAGAATTTTCCGCAGCCTCAGCCGGTGTGGATGTCACGTCGTCTCAAGTTGGTCAGGAGAGAAGCTGCCCCAGAAGGAGCCACCTGCTAGTGATGCCCCAGGCCTGCCCCTCCTTGGCAGCAGAGAATCAGGACAAGCAAGTAACAGAAGCACTGCAGGCTGCGGTGGTGCTGGGAGGACCTGGGGAGGTCTCCCAACATGGTATTCAACAACAGCAGCAACAGCAGGCACCCACCTCCCCCCAGGATCACCAGGGAGAAAGCTTCGAGGGGGAAGCCCCAGCTGAGATGACAGAGCCTTGGTTACAGTAACTAAGAAAAGCCCCAGGGAATCAGCTGGGCCTGTGGGACTGATGAGCCCAAAGAGCTTTGACAAATCAGATGACCTGGGAGAAGAAGGCCCTTCTTGGTGACTAATTTTCCCTTCCAACTGATGGATTTGAAAGAAACATCAATAAAAAAATGACAATCTTAAAAACAACAGTGTTAGCATCTTGGATTCTGCTCATCAGCCTTCTCTGGGCTTCAGTTTCTTCAGCTCCTTAAGACAGGTGGTTTAGAGGTACTTCACTCAGCGCCCCCACCTCTCCTTGCGGGATGCAAGCAAGGGAGATGACATCCAACTCTACCAACTGAGAACGAGTGGACAGAGCAAGCAGAGAGAACAGGTGGTGGGTACCTGGTGGAGGGTTTCCATCGCATTCCCATCAGCCTTTTCTCCATCAACTTTCTAAGCAAACTCAATTGTAGAGAGGAAAACAGCTGGTGCAAGCCCAAAGCCTAGGGCAAGAGGACTGTGGAAAATCTCAAAGGAGACAGACTCCTAGGTCATGAAGGGCCCCCAGAGAAAAATCCCTAAAATACAAAGGGTGGAAACCAAGACAAGTTCCTGTACAAAGGAATCCCCACTCCACACTGAGCATGAGCTCTGGGGAAGAAGAGCCACAGAGTCCCCAGGACACCTAGCTGTAACACAGGAAGAGCAGCTAGCCTGCCTTGGGAGGAAGGGAAGGCTGCCTGACCATAGTGTCCTGATCATAGGGAGAATGCCCGGCAGGCTGCCCAGCTGGACTGTTGTTGCAGACCAGCAGGAGACAGGTCTGAGTTTCAGTGGAGCCCTGCCAGGCAGCCTTAGCATTTAGGCTGAGGACATGCAACTGGATCTCCCAGCCACCTGCAATCAGAGGGAAATCAGCATTAGGGGAAACCCTAAAAGGGCAGGTGATGGAGGGCAGTGCTGCCTTGGCACTAAGTAGAGGGACAAGTCCAACTTCATCTCCTTGCCACTGTAGTTGGCCGAGGCTGGGAACACGTGTCAAGGATCTTTATAACTAGCTGGCAGAGCCACCTCTCATGCCCCAGCTGCATGCTTCTCAGAGCCCCTCCGTGCCCAGCTGCCCGCCCTCTGTGACTCCTGAAGAACGGCTCTTCTCAGAGGCAGCCCTGCCTGGGGATGCTTCCTGTGGGTCATCAGGCGCCTCATCATCCTCCCCCTGCCAGCTTCCCAAACCACACCCTTCCAGCAATGGGGCCTCCTGCTGTGGCTGGCCAGCTGCCAACTGGGGCCAGCAGGGAAACAGATGTCACTTTCCTATGAAAACCAACGAAACCCAGAAAGACCAAGCTTAAATAGAGATTTTCAAAAATCAAAGTGTGGTCTTTTTTCTTGACTGAGCTTGAGACGTGACATGACAAGACTCATCTCCAGCTGCTCCCAATGAAGTCACCGCCACGTCCCACAGGCCTGGGTTCAGGCACAGGACTTACCCTCAGCGTTCCGTCAGCCCTCGAGGAAGCAGGCACTATCTAAAGAAAAAGAAAAAGTATTATTGTCACTTCTCCAGGCACGCCTGGGAGAACCTAGGAGTGGCCAGACATAGCGATTCAGAACCGAGAGAAGATCTGCTAGCTTGCTTCCTCTTGGGGGCTCCATGGGTGCCACCAGAGCAGCACAGGGCTGAGGGCACACCAGGTATTGACCAGCTATCCCCACCCTTTGCTTCTTGCCACCCACTCCTGTGACCCTGCAGCCTGATTCCTCCTCTGTAAAATAGGGACAATAACAATACCTACCTCACCGGCTCACAGGAGTAACCAATGCGTAACACACGCAATGGCTACACTCGGACGCTGGCTTGACCGCTAGCAGGATTTAAGAAAAACCCTTGTGTGGTCCCCACTACACAAGAATAAGAAGTTCCAGAAACTGTTATTGTTTCATCTGAAGGGCTTCCTCTTCCCATCCACATTCTCTGTGCAGCTGCCTCTAACCTCAGGAGCTACCTGTCTCCTGACTCCTGGGCTCTGGTTTTCCTATCTCTCAATGCAACTTGACACTAATGAAGAACTGTCTTACGTGATCTGAGATGTGTCTCCTATTTCCAGACTGTTCCCTCAGAGCCTTTCCTGCAGAGGCCCCTCCCTGCCCTGCATAAGAAGAGTACATTCATGCCGTGGGAGCCCAAAGGTGGTGCATGGCCACTTTCTGGAGCTTACAGACTGCTTATTTTCCAAAGGCCACATCCATCAGACAGCTCAAGCCACTGGTCAATAAATAGCAAATTGGAGACACACACCAGCAAGGAATTGAATATGTTCACAGAAAACCAGCTGCCTTGGTAGATGATGTCAAAGCTGAAATTTAATGTTTGGGGCATTCAATTCAATAAAATATTTATGGAGTGCATGCATTCACAAGGAATTATGCCAGAAGATACCAGCTCTGCCAAAAAGTGCCCAAACGCACATTATTAGGGGCTAACTTTAGAAGGCAAAAGCAGAAGACTCAGGTCCCCAAGGAAGGTCTCCGAGTCCAGGGCCAACCCCAGCCAGGCCATTTCCCAGCCATGAGACTTGGAGCAAGATAGTTAACCTCGCTACATGTGGGGTTTAGTAAGGCCCCTGTCACTACATAGTGAGAGCACGTACAGTTTGGCTCTATTATTAATAGCAAATGATAATAAATCATTACTTATCATTACAAATGATTTGTTATTAAAAGAAAGAATCCACATCCAGCTGAACAGATCTGGCCAGGCTTAATATAGGAAAGCCCTGAGTACTGAAGAGTAAAAGGCCCTGAAAAAAATCAAGTCACTGGGAACAAGAAGAGGGACACTAAGAAGTGAGTTTGGAGGGTCAGTGAATAGTCTGACGGTGGGGCCCAGGCAGAAGAGGTTACCAATGGGGTCAATGGATGAAAAAGCCCAACAGCAGGACCATGTTGGTTAGTCCTGAACGCCAAGATGAGACAAGCTCCCCATTCAGTAAGCAAGAGGAAAGGGCTTGTTCCTTTGGTTATTTTCCATCTTTTACTATCAAGCCCTCGTTCTCTGGCAAAGCGTCCACAGCAAATACCAGAAGGCAGCTAAGTGAGAGAATCCAATCAGTCAGGCCCAGAGGTGGTTTCAGCAAGGGAGCAGGCAAAATGCCCCCCTTCTCAAAGGACGCCTCTGGAGGAGAAACTAGCCCCAGAGCAGGCCTGGGACGAGCAGAACAGGGCCCCATCCAAAAAGAGTACGCTGCCACTGGGAGGCAGCCAGAGAAGTCCACACTCACCTCCAACAAAAACACAGTCCCGGGTGAGGACCCAGAAAGGGCCAGAGAGGGGACTACCTCCCAGATTCACTGGTCTCCGCACGTGGTGCTGGTCATTGCAGCTGTCCCTAATGACTACTTTCTGGGTGCCCCAATTTCTACCTTGCTCTCCTCACCCATGCTCAGCTTAAGACATTTTCCACTGATTTATCCAAAACTCTACTAAGCACCCCTGTTGTTCCCAGCCCTGTGTTAGAGACTGTGAGGATACAAAGAAGACACAGACAGCTGTGACACGGAATGAGACATGAACCTGAGATCCAGCCCTGCCACTGGTCCCAGAACCTCCATGCACAGGGTTGGGAGGACAGCCACACAGCACAGCACATGGGGTACTGGGAGTGATACGGAGAAATGGAGGAATAGGACATGGCGGTTGTCAGAGGCAGAGGACCCACTGGAGGGGAGCAGTGGCACAGAGACAGGTGAGCCAAGATGCAGCAGGCTTCAACAGGGACAGAAGAGGACAGAAGGTGCAGAAGGGGGCGCTGGGGTAAACTGGAGACACCTCAGATGGCAGCCTCAATTAATTAAAAAAACAACAGACATTGACCAACCACAGTGAACAGAGCCCTTTCCCTAAGGGCAAGGGACAGAGCAGCCACTAAAAAACAAAGGGTTGGGCTGCGGCCATAGCTGAGTGACAAGAGCGCTTGCCTGGCATGTGTGAGGCACTGGATTCAATCCTTAGCACCACATAAAAATTAACAAATAAAAAAAGGCATGCTATCTATCGACAACTAAAAAAAAAAATTAAAAAGAAAATAGAAAAAGAAAAGAAACAAAGGGTGAGCCGGCAGGATGGCATATGCCTATAATCCCAGTGGCTCAGGAGACTAAGGCAGGGGATCATGTGTTCAAAGCCAGCCTCAGCAAGGTGAGGCTCTAAACAATTCAGTGAGACCCTGTTCTAAATAAAATACAAAAAAGGACTGAGGATGTGTCTCAGTGGTTGAGTGCCCCTGAGTTCAATCTCTGATACCCCCCCCCAAAAAAAAATAAATAAAAGAAAGAAAGAAAGAGTGAGTAGGGCATGGTGGCACACACCTGTAATTCCAGCTACTCTGAAGCTGAGGCAGGGGGACTGCAGGCCTGCCTCAGCAACTTAATGAGACCCTGCCTCAAAATAAAATAAAGTATAGATAGATAGATAGATAGGTAGAGAGAGAGATTGAAGGGCTGAGAAAAGAGCTCAGTGACAGGACCCTGGGTTCAATTCCCAGTTCCACAAAAAAGAAAGGGGTGGGGGATGGAGGGATGAGCTGGCTTAGGGTGTAACTCAATGGCAGAGTATGGTGTTTACCATGCTCAGGACCCTGGGTTCAATCCCCAGCATGCAAAAAAAGAAAGACAAAAAAAAAAAAAAAAAAAGGACTGCTGCTCTCAAAGAACTTAGCAGAACACAAATGAACACAACCGGGGCTCAGGTCTGCTGGTTCCCAAACAAACGCCCAGCTGCCCCTGGATCCAATCCTCCCCGATTTACCCGCACATTAGTAAATCCTAGTGCCCTCACCTGTAGCAGCCGCTTCCCATGACCAATTTCTCATACCCCCTGAGAAGTACTATTTTCCCCATTCTTTTTCCTCAGCCTTCCACTTGCAGGCTCTCATTGCTTGGAACTTGCTCCTCTTCCATAAGACCTTTGTTGCTCAAATCCAATCACTGCTGCTACACTGCCAGCGGCACAAAAGTAGGTTCACCACTCACCTCTCCCACAACGGCTGCCCTTTTAGCCCAGGGGCCAGTCCCCTTCTCTCCCGCTTTAGCATGAGGTCTGCCCTGGCTTGCAGGCCTCTACCACACTTCCTCTTCTGGGCCATACCTTGTTCTCACCTGCTCTCTACAAACATCTGTAGCATGCTGACTTCTTCTTAGGTTTAATTTTTCTCTCCTCCAACCAGTTTGTCAGCAGTTCTAAAACAAGGATTAACCTCATCATCTACGTAACCCCTCAGCACCTAGCCTAGGGCTCTGCACATGATGAGTTTAAAAGTTGATGCATTAAGATAAAAAGAAAGGGGCTGGGGATGTGGCTCAAGCGGTAGCGAGCTCGCCTGGCATGCGTGCGGCCCGGGTTCGATCCTCAGCACCACATACAAACAAAGTTGTTGTGTCCGCTGAGAACTAAAAAATAAATATTAAAAAAAAAAATTCTCTCTCTCCTTAAAAAGAAAAAAAAACAATATTAAAAAAAAAAGATAAAAAGAAAAACAGAAAGCTGTAGCTGCAAGTAAATAGGAAGGCTAAGCATATCCACCCCCTACATAATTATTTGCATCACATACAAGGAAAGATTGACAGGCGGGAGGCCAGCCAGGGCTGCTGGTGGTAGTGGGTAAGGGAGCATGGGAGAGTCTGAGGGCTCTAGTTGCGATCTAGCAAGTGTTGGCACTTATCAGAGCCTCAGTTTTCTCAGCTGCAGAATGAGGATAATGAGCCCTGGGCTCCTCCTTTCACAAAATGAAAAGGCAATCGGATTTTTAAGAATTTCAAAGCTGCCAGGGACCTTGGGACTTGGCCTAGTTCCATCATCTGTAAGATGAGGAAAGAGCTCTCCAAAGGTAAAACAACTCGCTGAAAGTACACAGGGCAAGTCACCCTGGGAGGAACCAGCGGGACAGGGCCTCAAGGATCAGGCTTCCAGTCGGACGCAGGAGGGCACTTTCCAAACGCACTTTGTAAACCACTAAAAGCTATAGAAATAATGGGCTGAACCCAGCCGCACCTCCTAACTGAAGGGTCTTGAATCATTGTGTCTAAGCATCTCAAGTTCACTTCTACATCTGAACCAAGTGCATCCTTCGGGAGACGGAGTGCAGCCACTTGGAACAAGGAAAATGCCAGCCTTACATTGCCACAACTTCCATACAGTCAGTGAGATGGGGTCAGCTTGGTCTTGGTTTGAACCCTCAGGGACCTGGCGCGAGGCATTTTAGGGCCCAGTGCGTCAGTTTCTCCATCTGTAAAATGGGCCTGAGAGCAGGACTAAGGGCGCCTGTGGCAGCCAGAGGGGCGGGATGAGGTGGCGCCCGCCCGGGAGGGATGCTCACGCGGCATCTAGCCCTAGACGCCTCGCGGTGGGGTCCGGGTGTGGATAAGGGAGGGGGCGGGTCCGCGCCGGCCCGGTCCCGGCTGGAGGAGAGACTGCGCACGTCGTGTCGTGTCGTGTCGTGTCGCGTCGCGTCGCGTCGCGCTGCACGCCGCCCGCAGTCGTCCCCTCCAGCCGTCACTCGCAAAGCCCGCGCCTCCTTTGCGCGCGCGACCCTTACATAAGCGTCCCTGGCGCCGGCGCACGCCCACCAGCTCCGACCTGCCGCAGGAAGAGGAAGGTGCAGAACGCCGCGGACACTCACCTCCTCCCAGGCGCTGCAAGTCGTCGCCGCTGCCTCTACGGCCGCTGCCTCCGCTGACAGGGAACAGCTGCGGTCTCCGTGCAACCGAACTTGCTGCAGTCCCAGGCCCCGCCTCACGGACTTCCTATTGGTCCAGGCAGCCCAACCCCTCCTGGAATTGGGTAATATTCTCCGTCACTCACCACTCCTCCGCTTAGGACTCCTCCCTACGCCCACCTACCGGCACGTTTAAGCCTTGGCGCGCCACGTCAGCCCCGCCCCTCGCGTCTCCGGAGGGTCCCTGGATTGGTGGCAAGGCCAGGAGAGCCCGCCCCAGGCGCACCACCGCCTACTCTCTTGTCTCCGGAACCTCACGTGGGCAGCTCGGCCCCGCCCCCGCCCGCAATAGGCGGAAGTGGCCTGGCTCGGACACGTCGTGATTGGCTATCGGCGGGGGTGGGGACGTGCAATTCATTCATCCGGGTAGCACGTGTCTCCCCAAACCGCAAGCATAACAGATGCGCCCCGGTTCAGGCACACTGGCCCGACGCAGATACGCATTAGCGGTCGGAGAAGAGGTGTCAGAGCGTTAGCGGAGGGTAGGAGGAAGGAGAAGATGCTCGTGCCTCCAGGGTTTACGTGACTGCGCCCTGTGGCGTCTGTGTGGGTGGTCATGGGAGTTAGAAGTCAGTCTCTGTGCGACCTTGGACATTTCCACTTCACCTCTCTGAGCTTCAGTTTTCCTAATTTGCAAAGCGGGGTCGCTCAGGACCTAGTTTATAAAGCTTGGTTGATATATGAAGGAAAGCTGCTTAATTGGGCTCTGTGCCAACCAGAGGGTAGGGAAGTGACCCAAACAACCCAAAATTCCTGCCTTCCGGTGAGGGGAAACTAGACAAATAAACATAGAATATACAGTACATCAGATGTAATTAGGGCAAGGAGAAAAAATAACCTGCTTCCAGACAAGAGGATCAAGGACTCTAAGAACACCGTTGACTAGAAATTGTTTATTGGGCACGGAGAGGGATTAAGATCCCCATCTCTTCTCGAACTTCATTGCGTAAAAAGTTTATCACTACAACTTCCTTGTCCTTCCTTCCACCTGTCCCGCAGGACTCCAACCCTGGGTCGATCCACCACAGCTATTTTAGAAGCAGAATAAGAACTTAAAGTCCAATCTTCCAAATTCACGCTTTCATTCAATCAATACGCATCTCTTAAGCACCTACTTACTATGTGCCTGGTGCTATGCGGGGGATTGGTGGGCAAAACCCAGGCCCATCATTTCATGGAGCTCATGTTCTATCTCATGTCCAAGCCCAAAGACTCGACATAACTTTAAAAAAAAAAAAATACAGGAAAAGAGTTAAAGCCTTGTAACCTTGTGAGGTCCCATCCCTCTCTGGACTGGATTTCCATATAAAAGGGGCTGGACTTCATAGACACTTGAGTCTGTCCTTTCTTGTGTGTTACACTTCTAGCACATGCCTACCTTGTGACCTCATTACTTCCTATTTTATCTACCCTTCTGCACAGATGTAAGACTTGAATCCCTGTGTCTTTCAGAAAAGGCATGACCTTGTTCTAGGGCTGGCCAGTCAACAGGGTCTGCGAATGGATCTGGAACATAAAGCAGGTGACTCCTACATCAACACCAACTGAGGCAGATCTGAACAAAGGACCTAATTGAGTGGAACCAGATAGATTGCTGTGAACAAAGCAGTATGGGTTCTGAACAGTTAGCCACAGCATATACATTATCTAGATCAAGTTAGATTGAGAAACAAGACACCTTGTCATCCAGGCTTTCTCCTTCCCCAAGAGGACAGGTTTGGGAAAATATTCCATTCCAAGCCAAGAAAACTTTCTAGCCAACAGCCTGGGTGAGGAGTCTGCCATGGCTGGAGAGAGCATTTCTCAGGGTGAGCTTCAGATCTCTCTCTACTGGCAGAATCTCTTTGTTACAGAGTGCTGACTGGAGACCCAGATTCCTGAGCCCTACCCCCATGGTCTTATTCAAATTAACCAGATGCCTTAGAGGGACTAACAGAGTCACCTAGGTCACAGACACCCAACGTTGGGAAATGAGACCCCCCCCTCCCACTGCTTTGCATTGATAGTTTTAGGAACTTTCCAAATGGTTCTGAAGTGAATCAGTGTTGAGACCCGCAGAGAGGCCTAGAGAAGTATTAGCCAGACTTCCCAATGATAAGAATCTCCCTGTTTTTTTTTTAAACAAACAGATTCCTGGACCCACACCCATGGAGCTGGGGTGGGGCCCAGGAATCTTTTGATTTTTTTAACCCCCACTAATTCTGGAGATCTGGGAGGCTTGGGGACTTGGCTAAATTCCTAAGAGGGGGTGGCAGAGGAGGGCTGGCCAGGAGTTCAGCTGTGGTGCTCAGGCACAGGCAGCAGGATCTCTCAGGAAAGAAGTGTGACATCCAGCAGCTCAGAGGCTCCTGTGAGGCTGGAAGTGCAGCTCTGCCTTCTGCTTCTTAGTGTCTTCCACTTTCTGGAAGGTTCTTGGTTGATTGGTTGGTCGGTCTTCTGTTCCTCTCCTCACATTTGAACATTACCTCTCCAACAGTTGAGTTTAGCACAGAATAGGTGCTTAATAAATAGTGGGTAATGAAAGCAGGGGAGACATCAGCCCACAGTTAAAAGAACTGGAGTAAAGGGGACTGCCCCAGAGACCAGCCCCAGAGGCCAAGAGTCCAGCAGGAGATTGAGGAGTCCAGAGGAGGGAAAGTTAAAGAGACAACGACCTGGAACAGGCCAGGTGGGGTCGGGGAGTGTGATTGCCAAGGGGCAAATTGGGAGGAGGGAGACTTCAAGAGTGTCCCTGGGCCAGAAAGGAGGGAAAGAAGATTCATTCACTCCACAGCTTTCTCAGGAAAGATGTCATGAATAATGAGCAGTTTCCCCAGCCCCACCCTGCTCCCGGACCAGCAGGAACGGAGCCTGAAATGCTTGACTTCAAAGCGGTGTGGCTCTGTGCTGGAGATGATGGCCAGGGGGTTATGGAACTCCAAGGAGGGGCCCCTGACCCTAAAAGAGGGGCCTTAGAGGGCTTCCTGGAGGAGATGATGACTGGGCCAAGTCCTGAAAAAGAGAGAGTTTATCAGGTGAAGATATTGATAAACAAGGCCCCATGCTGAGAAGAGGCCCAAACTAAGACGGAAAGATGAGGTGGGGGAGGGGCATGGTGCACTGCATACTGCGGGGGGCCGGGGAGGACAGCTCCCCAGCAAGTTCAGGAAGCACAGTGGGGGAGGCCAGGAACAGTTAGGAACAAAGAAACTGGAAGCATCCAGGTGGAAAGGGAGCTCCCAGACAAAGCCGTGGACCCCTCAGAACATAACAGACACCATGAGCCCCCCAGTGCAGACCACCCTCTGAGTTTCCATTTCCAGCTCAGAAGCTGGGCTTCACTCTGACCAGGACAGCTCAGATGAGGGGATCTTCCCTCCTCAGATGATGAATGAGGGCTGTCCAATTTCTGGCGGCTGGAGCCTCAGAGGGCCTGGCTGCTGGGTTAACCCTCAGTAAAAAGACAGGGCAAGGCCACCAGGCCCTCAGGAAGACCCACTGCTTCCCCTGGGATGGACAAACACCCTGCACAGGCTGGAACTGTGTCTTCTATTCTGCAGCACAGAAGCCTCCAGGTGACAGGGCAGAGGCAGCCCAAGGGTAGTTTGATCTGCTTTTTATTTATTTATTTTTCATAAGTTTTCCTGCCTCAGGTCCTTGGGGGGACCAGGCTGCTCCACTGGGTCTCTTAGCCTGGTTCCCATGCACAGCTACACTAAACCATGGGGTGCCTGGTTGATGATAAGGAAAAGGTGGCACTTTGGTGATAAGGCCTCTCTCTACCAACACATGACCGGGCAGGCAAAGCATGGCTTGGGTCACGGTCCTGTTCACCCATCAGCATGGAGCACATGGGCAGTGTGGGAACTGCACAGCGATGAAAGGCGGTCCTGTGCCCTTGCCCAAGTGCAGTTTTGGGGTACTGAGCCTGACTCCCCACACTTTGTCCCTGTGGTCTCTGTTCCTTTAACCTTGTTGCCTCCCACCCCTAGGGACCTGTCCTTTCAGTCTGGACAGTCCCACTAGACCACGGAGCCCATCAAGGGATCCCCACAAGATACTCAGACCATCACCGGCCGAGGTGGAGCACAGCCTTCATCTCCCCTGTGCTCTTGGGCTGCCGAAGTCTCTGCCAGTTCTGAGATCGCTCTTCTGTTTCCACCCCTCTGAACGTGCCAGCCCCAAGAAGCAAAGGAATGGGTTAGCTCCTCCCAAACCCTGTCCCAAGTTTTATTGGGGCAACGCCAGCCAAAACAGTCCCTGTCACTTGCCCCCTGCCCAGACTCTCAGCTGCAGTTAACATTGCCATTTCTGCCATCTCTCCTGCTTTGCCCACGTGCCCGAATCCCAAGTCCTCAAAGCCCGTGGGAGACTCCCCACCATGGGTCCAGCCCTTTACCAGGGTGCCAGTTCTATTCAAAGTCACTGGTCCCTGGGATGGGACAGAGGAAGGGTACGAACCTCCTTACAGTCTGAGAGGTAACTCTTTGGATTCTCCCAGCAATCCTCTAAAGTAGGGAGGGATGTTGAGGCTCCAAGAATAGATACAGCCTCTCTCCTGGTTGCACAGCCAGGGACCCAGTCAGGGACCCCCAAGCAGCACATTTTCTGCTCCACGCGCCACCTTAGACCACCCAGGAAAAGAGAAAACAGAAAGTGTGGAATCAAAGAAAGAGCTTTGTTTCTGACGATGTTTCTGAGATCTCTGTGAAGATAGTACCTGGTGAAGCCAGATTTACAGATAGGTGGTTAGTGTAGTCGGGTAAATGGGGTCTCAGATGAAGATGGAGCCCATCCCTAGGAAATGTTAATGAAGCAGCCCCCAGCAAAAAGGGGATGCTAATCCAAAAGCAATCCCAGACCAGATTACTCCTTTGGCCCACCTGTCCCCCACCCTTTGGGCCTTCCTACCCGCATTCCATCACTGCAAGATAACAGAACAAATGACAGGAATGCGGAAAAGCTGAAAGTAG